GGAAAATAAGTCGCGATGTTTCACACTTAAAGGTCTGACCACCCATCTCACTAAGACCATTTGTAGAAAACTTCCTACACAATTTGCCACATGTATTTATTCTGACTAGACTAATCAAAATTTAGGTGGCAAATCTGGTTTGATGCAATGTTTATGATTTGATGTATCAGTCAAATGGAAGGACATTTACAAAGCAGTGCTCCTAACTGGGCAGTGCCCAAGCTTGGTTCAATGGCCCTCATAACCTACTACTTAAAGCCCACGAGGCCAAAGACAAGGGCCTCCACAGCTGGCAGAGGAAGATTTAACCCAACTCTAACGAGATTTAATTTTCTTTTTGCAAGTCTTGCCAACTTTCAAAGCAGAAATGTTGACATTGTTTTTTTTAAAATAGGTAGGATGTGATCCTACATTCTTAGCCGTGCTTTTTAAATAAAATAACCAACAAAAATATCACCTTAGCAGCAGTCTCTTTCTTTAACTGTTCTTCCAAAGTGATCTTTATCTCCTGAAGACTCTCAAGCTGTTGAGACTTCTCTTTAAATGTGGACTCCAACTGTGAAATTAAAAAAGAAAAAGCTGAAACTCACAGAAACTCCCTGTGGTTCACAGCACACTGACTGGAGGAGCCTGCAGCCTAAAGGAATCTACCCAAACTCAGGTCCTCCCAGGCCTTGGATCTTGGTTATGTTTGGAATGCTCTTCTCACCCTTTGACCTCTGTGGACCCCTACTGAATTTCTTCCACATCTAGTTTTTCACTAACCACTTGTTAGGCACCTACTATATCCTAAGGCCAGGAGATAGAGAAATCCAGAGAGACGGATGCATAAATAATTATGGCATGTGAACATACAGGAAGAAGCATTTAATTCTGCCAGGAAAGTTGGGAAGAGATTCCTAGAAGAGATGATGTTTGACTCTTTAAGATGAAAATTTTTATAGAGGAAGGAAAATGGTGGTATGGGGAGATGGTGGAGAGAGATACTCCAAAAAAGGAATGGATAGCATGCATAGAAAATGCACTCAGGAACAGTGACGAGGTCTGCTTGCCTACAGCACACAGTGCTCGGGGCTGTAGAGGCTGAGGCTGGAGAGACATGTGAGGCAATTTTTAAAGATCACCTTTGCCTCATAACATCAAGGTCAAGGGTTCAGATCCCCATACCAGGCATCTACCAAAAAAAAAAAAACACCTTGGCTTCAATATGGAGATGAACTACAAGTGGATAAATTTTGGAGGCAAAGAAACAAGTTACAATAAGCCAGGTGAGAAGTGAAGCCCAAGCAGTGGGAGTGGGAGTGGAAAAGATGAAAGGCATTCAGGGCACTGGTAATTTCTGCCAGCGCCATCTCAGCAGTAGAGTAGAGGCAGAAAGCAGACTGCAGTGGGCTGAGGAGTGACCAGGAGATCAGGCAGTGGAGACTGCTCTTTCAAGAACCCAGGCAATAAAGGGAAGAAGAAAGATGGGTTGCTTGAGAGAGACGTGCAATCCAAAGAGAAATTTTTTCTTTCTTAATGGGAGACACCTGAGCATGTTTACACACAATGGAAAAGACCAATAAAGAGGTAGAAGCTCAAAGTCCAGAACTGAGAGGGATAATTCAGGGGATGGCTGGAAGAGATGGGAGTGATTCAGTCCAAGTACCTATGCAATGACACTGTGGTCACAACCAGGTCATCATTTTCTCTGAAGAAACAAGAAAGAGAGAAGGCAGGGAATAGAAGTAGGAGAATATGTGACCTAGAGTCCAGAAGCTGAAGTTGGCCCTGCCTGAGGACTGAGGAGTGAGGTCAGTATCTACCGAGAGTGACAGGATTGAGGAATGGAAGAGACACAGCTCAGGACAGATGAAAGTCTGAGGAACACTGGAGGCCCATGTGACAGCCTGAGCACATGTGCCACCAATTCTGGTGGACTTGTGGGTGTCGGTGGGAGACTAGGTGAAGAAGCAAGCATGTAAGGTGCAGCCTTGAAGAAAGCAAAGGCAGTTGCTAAAACCAGGAGAAAAGGGAAAGTTGGAGGAATTGAAGGTCTGAAAGATGTACTTAGAACAGCAGGATCAAGAGATGGAAGGATGGAAGATTGTGGTCAATGAATGTGAGGCTGGAGAGAGATTTTAGAGTGGGGCGAGGTGCAGCCAAGTGTGTAGAAAGAAGGGCGAAGTAGAGGCAAAGGTCTTGACATTCAGGAACACTGAGGCCAGGGAGCTAAATGGGGTCACCTACCAAAGGTGCAGATGTTGTCTAAGAGAAGACTCTAAGCTAGAAAACATCCTCTCCTGTTTGTAAAAAAAAAAAAGTGTACGTATTTCGACTGCAGCTTTAAGCATACATCATGTTACAACCATGCCTTGCCTGTCTTCCCACTACAATGGGAACTCCAGGCAACAGGCACATCTTGGTCTTCCCTATACCTCTGCCAGTTAACACACGGCCTGACACAGTAAATGCCCTCTATCATCATCACGCCCAAATTCCAGTGGATTTTTCCCACTAGACAGAAGGCAGGGACCATGCCTTAACCTTCCTTAAAGGCAGGGACCATGCCTTAACTATCTTCTTATTCCTTGGGTGTCGCATAGTAGGATTCAATAAATAACCACTGCTAGCCAGCTGTCAAAAAATAAATTAATAAAGAAATAACCTCTGGTTGCTGAAACTCATGACTCACCTGTCCCTTTTCTACTTTTATTCTTTCTAATTCAGCTTTTAGGCTAGAAATGGAAGCTAGAAGGGAAAAAAAGAGAGGTATTAGCATTCATTCATTATTTTACATTAAATCATATTCCTTAAAACATCCCAAAGGATTCAAATATATACTGAACACTGGGTGGGGGGAACCTTTCACGAAATTATCCCCAACCAGTCGGCATCCTCAATAAGCTCAGGTAAAGGCAGAATCCACACAAATGGTCACTATCACAAACCACCTCTAGATCAAGTACCCACATCGGACTCTGCTGGCACATCAAAGTTCTTCAAGGAAATGCCACCCATCTAATCATGTTCTGAGTTTCCTATCTATTAGTAATTGTCAAAGAGAGGCCATCAGAGCTCCTAAAAAGACAATGAGGTTTTTGTGGCTTTGGTTTTTCTACTCCGAATTACTGGATATATCAGAACATCTGGAAACACAGACTGAGTTCTTAATTCTTTCTGATACTTTTCTGTTCTACACATTCCATCACCATGTATTACTTCTTACAATCAGAAAAATTTTATGTAGTGACACCAATTCTAAACTACAGCACTTCTAGCTTCACCTATTTCCTCCTTGCAGTTTTCTATTTCTAGCTGCAGAGTTTCTTCAAGGTTTTCTTTTAAACACTGTTCTGCTTGAATCTGCTCTTTTAGGAAAAGTATTTCAGCCTTCAGTTTTTCTTCCATGTGGTCCGCTGCTGTCCGCACATTAATGATGTTCTCACGGTATTTTAATACCAACTCCCGAAGTGCCTGGATTCAAGAAAAGAATGGTTACTGGGGTTTGCGAGGGTAAAAGGAAATTTTTAAAAAGAAGCTAATGATTTTCTATTACCAGAATTTTAGATATTGTTTTAAATGGTTCAAAATTAAGACTTTGAACTTTAACCCACTTGGGGCTTCAAGGGCAGGTGCCATGTCACCATTCAGTATGTTACAGAAATAAGACATTTCCAGCCAAAAATGTGTGTTGTGAGCTATATATTTTCCCTCAAAACTGTTTCATAAGCAGAAAAATAAATATGTTAAGTGACTTGCAACATAAGATTCACTAGGAATAACAGCTTAGGAGCCTTCTACTATTATGCAGTGGACTGAATGACCCCCTAAAGTCATTGAACCTTAATCCACATTGTAACTGCTGAGGGTAGGAAATCCTATTATGGTCACTGAAAGGTGGGGTCTTGAAGAGGTGATGGATTGTGAGGACTATGCCTAGTGAATGGATTGATTCATTCACTGAGTAATAAATTGATAGATTAATGGTGGTCATGAGTGTGGTTCTGATGACTTCAAAAGGAGCCAACTAAGAAAGTTAGCTCTCTCTTTGCTCCACCATTTTCTGCCATGTGAAACCCTTGCGTTGCTGTAAAGCCACCGCCAAAGAAGACCCTCAACAGATGTGTTCCCTGGACTTTGGCCTTCCCAGCCTCTGAAACTGTAAGCAATAAATTTCGTTTTCTTATAAATTACCCAGTTCCAAGTATTTTGTTATAAGCAACAGAAACGGACTAACACATATTACTTGCATAAATTTGAGAGGAGTTAGAGAAAGAAGACAAAAAAGAGTGAAACTCAGAAGCAAGTATGAACTCTAATAGGATAAAATTTACTTATTCCCTTATTCATTCATTCAAAAACTAACTGAACACCTACCACAAGCAAAGTACTATGTTAAGCCACAGGTAAGTAAGGTTAAAGAATGGCTTTCTAAGGTGATCAGCTGTTTAAATTCGGCTTAAACCTTATATTTTCCCTAAATTTTAGCTCTGTTTTCTGTTAGAAATCCTTCCAATCATATCCTAAAGCAAACTCCGAAGTAACCGGGATTCTTAGCTAACAAATGTACATAAATTAAAGGGCAGCAGTTAAAACTGTAACAAGAAAAAACTCATAAAATCTATTACTAAAGCAGGTCCAAGAATCAAGGCTTACAAGATAGACTGTCTACACATCCCTCAAGGATTCATGGAATTTTTAAAAATCTAGCAATAAAGTCTCTAGAAAACATGGAAGAGAGGAATCTTTCCTGACAAAAGAGAAAGGTCTAACAGAGGTGGAAGGTGGTAGTACAGTGAATTTAAGCTGATAGCAAAAGTAGATGGGTTCCCAATACCTTCTTTTTGATGAGAGTATACACCAGTTTAGAAAGGAGAAAGGGCTCTCTCAAGAATGCCAGTAACCTGAGCTGACATGACAAGTTGGGGGAAGGTGAGGAGGAACAAGAAGCTAATTGCAAGATACGCAATTGAGTTTTTGTAAATGATCAAATAAAACAGTACTGTTAATATGTACATAGGAAAAAAGAATGAAGTCTAAATTGTAGAGGTTGGATCTACAGGGTAGGATTAGAGGAAACTTTTACTTGCAAAATTACAAATTTCTGTAATGTCTGATTTTTAAATAATTCTTAACAACTACAATTTCTTTAAAAAAAAAAAAGAAAAGGAACAAATAACATTTGTCTATTTTGTTTTGAAAATTGCTCTAAGAAATCCCATCTTTGCCTATACTGTTTATAGGGTTTCTTCGGGTTTAGCCTAAGATATTTTTTATGTGTTGAAAGGTTTAGAAACATATACCTATAAAAGTCAGATAAAGTTAAAGAGAAAGTTATGAATGTCTCCAGTTTCTAGCCCAGATTCAGCCAACCACACAAGAATGTAAATGACCAAAAGTGTCATCTTAGCAGACAGAAAGATGGTGGGTGTGGTACAACCTTTTAAGTGACAGATTAAAAACAAACACCACAAGGAGCCAGCTTGCTGACCCCTTCAAACATTTCTGGCACATTCTCCATCTGGTCCCACAAGAATAACATACAGACCTGGATTTGGCAAAGGATTCTTAGACATGACATAAAAAGCACAGCAACAAAAGAAAAACTAGATCAATTAGACTTCATCAAAATTTAAAACTTTTGTGCTTTGAAGGGCACCATTAAGAAAGTGAAAAAGACAACCTGTGGAATGGGAGGAAAATATTTGCATATCATATCTGACATGGGACTTATATCGAGAATATATAAAGAACTCTTACAACTCAATAACATAAAGACAAAGAGTCCAATTTTAAAAGCAAAGGATCTGAATAGACATTTCTGCAAGGAAGACATACAAATGGCCAATAATCTGCTCAGCCCCAGTAGTCATTAGGGAAATGCAAATTACAACCACAATGAGATACTACTACAAACCCATTAGGATGGCTATAATCAAAAAGTGAGATAAGTGTTGGCAAGGGTGTGGAGAAATCTGAGCCCCTAGACACTGCTGGTGGGAATATAAAATGGTGCCACAGCTTTGGAAAACAGCCTAGCAGTTCCTCGACAGTTTAAACATTGAGTTGTCATATGACCCAGCAATTCCACTACTTGCTATATTACCAAGAGAAATGAAAACATGTCCACACCAAAACCTGTACATGAATGTTCACAGCAGCATTATTAATAACAGCTCAAAAGTGGAAACAACCCCCCAAATGAATGAATAAACAAAATATCTACACAATGGGGTATTGTTCAGCCATCAAAAGGAAATGAAGTGCTGATACATACTACAAGTACTGATACATGCTACAAGATTCACTATTAATACATAATGAATCTTGAAAACATTATGCATGCTAAGTTAAAAAAGCCAGACACAAAAGACCACATCTTGTATGATTCCATTTATAAGGTAAATCTCAAGATATAAGGAAGATTAGTAGTTGTTTAATGTCCAGGGGGAGGGGAAACAGGAGTGATAGCTAAAGGGTAAGGGGTTTCTTTTTGAGGTGACAAAAATGTTCTGAAATTGACCATGGCGATGGTCACATTTAACTGTGATATATACTAAACACCACTGAGGTGAACACTTTAAAAGGTTGAATTGTTTGGTATGTGAATTATATCTCAATAAAGCTGTTTAAAAAATAACTTAGAGACATTTCAGAAAATGTACTTGTTGACATTTTTGATCATGTGGAAAATAAGTTACCTCGAGAGTGTCTGGGAGGATGAAGTCTTCCGCTTGCTGTAATGAAACATGCAAGCTATGCTTTCCCTGGAGGCTGTCATTATCTTTCTGTAACCTCACCAGCTCTTCTGAAACCTGTTCCCGTGACTGCATCAGCACTGCCTAAAACAGAAATAGATACTAATCACAGCCAGAAAGGTAAATCTGGTCTGGTGATAGCTACGCCAGAGCAAAACAAGGCCAAACAAATGAGGGCTGAGGATAAAGGGTATGTAAAAAGCTCTGCAAGACTTAGAAAAAGCTGCTCAGATTTTTTGATTTGCAGCCTTTTCACATATTCAACAAAGGGACAGGCAATGAAGCCAGTATCTGAGTTCATTCTCTAGTTTCTATCAATAGCTTAAAAATAATTAATCTCTTCCCTCCATATTCCTGGACTACAGAAGGACCAGGATCTCTAGCTCAATGGAGGTGGTTAATCCAATCGAGACCCATGTCAAATAGAGCATGTACCCCTAGACAACTCCTGTTTCCTCATGGCATGCATTCAACAGGAAGCACAGAGAAACAAAAAAGTGTCTTCATCTTCCATTACATATACATCTGTTCAAATTCAGGGTCACTATGAATGGCCCAGCAGCCCCAAATACTGAAAGTCATCAAGTGGCTCTATGCTCAAAAAAAAAACAGGGCAACTGAGAAACTCATTCTTAAAATGAGACATGTTCCTACTTCCTCTGCTTGCTGACGTGTAAAACAATTTGAGGTATTTCATATTAATCTGTATTGACATAAAAGTAATTATAGCTAATTTGAATATTAAAGTTCTGCAAAAGTATTTAATTTCTGCTAATTTTTAATACTAAGTCATTTACCCTTCGGGCACACATAAATGTAGTTTACTCACTCATCCAACATTTATTTAGCAGCTACTACTCTATGCTAGGTGTTTTGCTGCCCATGGGGAAAACAGAGTTTAAGGAAATAATCAGATAAATGCATTCTACAAGATAATTACCCTAAAACATTCTACAAGCAACTGGCCTGGACTTTTCAAAAATGTTAATGTCATAAAAACAAACAAAAAAAAGTGGGGGATGCTTCTAAATCAAAGGAGATTAAAGTGACATGATAACAAAATGCAATATGTGATCCTTGATTAGTTCTGTGTCAAAAAATAAAAATATAAAAACCACCACTAAAAAAACAATCAATGATTTTTTGGGATAAATGGTTATATTTTAAGGATGTAATAATAATATTGAGGTTATGTAAAACAACTTCTTTGTTCTTAGGAGATACATACTGAAATATTTAGGAGTATCTGCTTCTCCTAATGAAGTCTACAACTTAATTCCAAACAGTCCAGCAAAAACACAAACCAAAACACACAGACGGTAGTCCTCCCTTATCTACAGGGGATACATTCCAAGACCCCTAGCGGATCCCTGAAACCGCAGATAGTACTAAACCCTATATGTACTATGTTTGTTCCTATACATACATACCTATCATAAAGTTTGATATATAAATTAGGCACAGTAAGAGATGAACAACAATAATGAATAGTAAAATAGAATAATTATAACAATATACTATAATATAAAAGTTATATAAATGTGGTCTCTCCCAAAATCTCTTACTATACTGTACTTACACTTCTTGTGATGATGTGAGATGATAAAGTGCCTATGTGATAAGTTGATAAGATGAAGTGAGGTGAATGGCGCAGGCATTGTGACAGAGCATTTAACTTATGAATTGCTTATTTCTGGAATTTTCCATTTAATATTTTCAGACCGTGGTTGACTGCAGGTAACTAAAACCGTGGAATTAGAAACCACGGATAAGGAGGGGGGACTACCACACCTACATACACACAATATACCTACACACATATGAGAGAGACTGAGAGAACAAGTGCAAGTGTGCACCACTGCGGCCAGATTATTAGCAACTGGTGGATCTAAGAGAAGGTCTTACGAATGCTGATTCCATACACTTCTAAGTTTGAAATTTTTCAAAATAAAAAGGTAGGGAAAAATATTAAGATCCCAACCCCCATGATAGCCACTCTTCTCTGAAGAGGCCTAAGAAACTGAGTTTCTCTTTCTCAGTAAAAGAACCATTCGTAGTGATTTCAAGAAAATGGTTTAAAGCATTAGAGTTCACAGGACCTCAACCTTAATTTCAACAATTCTCCAATGTCACCTGCAACACATTCACTTTAAGTGAGATCAACTTGAAAAGTGTTCTTTGCAAAGGCAGATGGGTTTGCCTTTTAAAAGACAAGAAGGAAAAAGATGAAAAGGGGCAAAGGAGCGTGGGAGGCGTAACACTATGAAACTTTGTCAGCATTTAATAGTGATTTTAAAGCCAATAGTTATTATTTTGTATTCTCTAATTAGAGAAAAGATATGAAACTCTCTGGTCAATGATTAGGAAGAGAGGCTTCCCAACAGACCGGGTCTAGGATTCAGGAATTAGCTCAAAGGCCATTCAGATACTGACCAATGCCAATCAAAAACAACCCATTATCATTCCATCACAGGCTTGGATTTTTTTTTTTTTTTAAATTGTCATCCCTGGAAGAGCTGGGTAAGAAGCAACTTTGTAAGATCCTCCCAGCAGGACCAACTCTGCTATAAATTACACAAGGTCATCAGATGCAAGGTTCCAACTTTGAGAAAAAGGAAGAACAAGACAAATGCAGCCAGACTGGCGAGCAGGGAGGCCCAAGCCTGGGGAACTATCTGCAAAGGTTCCAGCCAGCCCCTGCTCATAAAGCTCTCTGCCCCCATCCCTCTCAGAATTAACGGCCTTCTGGAAGTTCCCCAGCACCACGACAGTTATGATACATATTTTTATCATAACCCTTGTGAAATTAATGAGGTTATTCTGAGTAAATTAGCTGTCCAGCAAAAGCACAATTGTTCAAAAGCTGCACCAGCTAGGACTCTGAGAGATTTTAATTTTTGAGCTTGTATTTGGAACTGAATATTAAATGTTGCTCATAGTTTATTCTGTTTAGGCTTCCCAAATCATAAAAATAAATTAAGTTAGAGATGAGAGTTGGGGGGGGAGGGAGGTGTCAGGAAGTAGGTTTAAGAAAGGAATAATGTCTTACAATATTTTGTACATTACTAATGTTCTATGGGCCCTGGAGAATATAACAGAAACCATTTTGGGCAGGGTGATAAAGTCATATCAATATGATTTCAAAACAGAACAAAAAAGAATATATATACCACAGTTACTGTTTATTTAAAATGTTAACTTACCATCTGTTCCTGAACATCCCTCTTTGCCTGGGAAAACCCCTGTTGTAACTCTTCAAGTAAGATCTCGGATTCTTGGGCTCTTAGGACAAGTGCAGAGATCTTTAAAAAAAAAAAAATGCATATCCAGAAAATATAAAGTTAGGAACTGGTTATTCTGAAACTAATCCTTCCATCTCCTGATTATTCATTGTCCAAAATTGACATTTACTTAGTTCACGGTAACCACTCACCACTCATTCAACAGATAATGTGTGCATCTGCTGCGTGCAAAGCCTCAGCCTTTCAGATAACACCAAAGCCCTGAGTCGTGTGCTGCCATACATGACCAAACAGCATTATGTGGGTCTCTAGACAGATATTAATCCACATGACCAAGTTACAGATATTATTTTTAAAGGGGCTTAAAAAAATCCATAAATATTTGAAACGCTGTCCACAAAAAAAAACAGCACACATTTAAAGGATAAATGAATCTTTTCTGAACTAGCTGCAATATTCTTAGGTGGTTTATCTAAAAGCAATACACACATGATTAACATCATTGAATTCTTTTTTTTTCCTTTTTGTCTTTTTTTGTGAACGGTAACGGGATCGCAAATCTTGGTGTTGTGCCCGTACCACGACCAGCAACGGGGTCGCAACCCTCAGTGTCGCGCCCGCACCGCGCTCAATCAGTGAGCGGACTGGTCTCTATATGGGATCCGAACCCTCTGCGGGAGCGCCACCACACTCCCAAGCGCCGCACTCTACCGAGTGCGCCACCGGGCCGGCCCGACATCATTGAATTCTAAACTCCCTTCGACTGGCTTTAATGTTACTGAGGATGGGTTTACTTGAAAATTGATGACTCATACATAAAAATAATAATATAAATGAAAATAATTTTGTTTAGACATTTTTTAAATGATTACTGTAACAGTTCTGCTCCCAATAGTGGCGAATGAGGTAATGTGAACCAATCTTCCTATTGAGAATTAGAAAAACTGTATAAAAATATAATATGTATTTCTACTTGAGAGAACTGGAGAACTAACGAAGCAAAAAAGAGCCAAGGATCAGGATAAGGATGAGTAGAATGCAGCACATGTAATAGTTCTTTAGAAACACATGCCAGTTGCCAAAGAAACAGATATGACACCAAGAAGCTGAGCAGAGCACTTGAGAACCCCAGGATAGGGTGGCAAAAATGAGGCAAAGGGACCCCTGGTTACCATCCTGAACTTGGCTGGGTCCCCAAAGGGCCACACCTTAAAAGAATGGTAGAATTTTACATAATCCAACCTCCACAACTTTATATAATTTCCATTCCTATAATGGGATTAAAGTGATTCAGGATTGTTAGTACCAGTAGTTGCCTGCTTCTCATAAGGAAAATGGCATCATGCTAGGCTTTATATTATTTCAACAATTTTTTATATACAATATCCAAAATGCATATAAAAATGCACAAGGAAATATGATTAAAAAAAAAAACAACAGAAACAGGTCTACAATGGATTCATGTACGTAAATTACTAGCTACTCGATCTGTTTTTTATTTTTTTGGCAGCTGGCTGGTGTGGGGATCTGAACTCTTGACCTTGGTGTTGTAACACCTCACTCTAACCAACTGAGCTAACCAATCAGCCCTGTTCAAAGATTTTTAAAAAGGCAAAATTTAGAATTGCTAAAGAACAGGAAACAATGAAGAATAACTAAATGGAAATAATGAACTGAAAAAAATCAATTACCTAAAATAAAAAAACTAAAAAAAAAATCAATTACCTAAGATAAAAATTCATTGGATGAGCTTACAGATAAGATCCATTTGAATAGAAAATTGGTGAACTATAAAAGACAGATTTGAAAAAAATAAAGACAACAAGATGGAAAATACAGAAGAGAGGGTAAAAGGCATGTATATGCAACGAGACGTTCTAACATATAAATATCTGAAGAAATAATAACCAATGGAAATATCTAGTAGAGCTAACAAAATAAGCCTATGCAACAATCTCCTAATTTCACTCCTAGATATACTCAGAAGAAATGAGTCTACATGTCTACCCAAAGATACATGCAACAATGTTCATAGAAAACTTACAATAGCCAAAAACTAGAAACCACCTAAATGTCCCTCAATTGTAGTACAAATAATGGTATATCCATGTAAGAGAATATTCAAAGCATTAATAAATAATGCTGATACACAGAACAATATGGATAAATCTCACAGACAAAATGATGATCAAATAAACCGGACACCAAAGGCTACATACTATACAATTCCATTTATATGAAGTTCAAGAACAAGCAATACTTAAAACGTGTTAAAAGTCAGGATAGTGGCTACCTTTCCATATAGGTAGGTGGGGTATTATGGACTAGGAAAGAGCATGAGTGTATTAGAAATGTTCTGTATCTTGATCTGGGTAAGGATTACCCTGGAAAAAATTTTCACATGTGTACTCAAACTGTACACTTGAGATTCATGCACTTTACTGGACGTATAACTCAATAAAAACATGTCTTTAAAAGAAACATAATGGGTGAGAACTTTCCAATTGTGATGTAAAACATCAATTCTGAGATGCAAGAAACCCTGTGAACCTCAAACAGGAAAAATATAAAGAGAAATACACCTAGGCACAGCGCAGTAAAACTGTAAAAAACAAAAAACAAGAACACTTTTTAAACAGCCAGGGAAAAAAACATTTTATATTCACAGGAACAACAATAAGACTGATAGCTGACTTATCAGAAACATGGGAGCCAGAAGCAATGGAATAGTAACCACAAAGTGCTGAAAGAAAATAACATACATGCTGAGAATTCTCTACCTGGAGACTTCTGGTGGGGTCCAACAAGGATTAAGCCCCTAGGGCCTCTCTGCACTGATTACAACTAAAAACTCTGGACAAAATGCAAAAAACAACCTGAAGACTGAAAAATAAGCAAAAGCAGACAGACTACAGAGGGAAATCAGAACCAAAAGAAGCGATTCATATAGGAGTGAGTTTCCTGTTTATTTGTTCTTTTTTTCCTTCTTTCTCACCAGCATGGATTTGAGGGCAGCCCCAGTTGTGAAGCTACAACAGTTTCAGCAGTTCAGGAGATAAAACTTTTTGGCCACAGGGCCAGGAACAAGATGTCTATGAACCAGATAACACAGGGGTAATCTTAGAGAGGAGAGAGATAGAAAAATTATCCCCTAATTCCATATATGAACCAGCACAAGTCCCACACTCAAATACAAATACAGGGACAGACCCAAAACAACACAGCAGTGTCTTTTTAAATGGAATTGGCATTATAACTACCACTCACAGAAGGCAAAACAGAACTTGGGAACTCCCATGAGTAGAAGCATCCTGAGGCACATGCCAGATGCAGCTGTCTCAGAATCGTAAGCCAAATAAACCTCTGTTCTTTATAAATTACCCAGTCTCATGTATTTCTGTTACAGCAACACAAAAAAAAACAGACTAATACAAGGCTCTAACAAGATTATATAAAGAACACCTAACAAATCAATAAGAAAAACAAATAATCAAAAAAAGTAAAACAAAGCAGACAATCCAAGAGAAGAATGAGCTAAGACAGGAATCTCACATAGACACACAAAATATCCCGATGGCCAATAAATATGAAAAATGCTAAATAACTTCAACAGTCATCAGAGAAATGCTAACTAAGCAACAATGAAATACCATTACACACCCACCAAAATGGCTAAAATTAAAATAACTAACAAAATTAAGTTTCTGAAGAGCTTGAACCCACAGGAATTCTTCTCATACATTGCTGGTGGGAGTATAAACTGTACAGCCACTTCCCAAAACTGTTTGGCATTATAATCTATTAAATTTGAACATATATTTTGAAAGTTTTGCCCCACGCATTCTACTCCTATATATATCTATCTAGCACAAACATGTCCACTTGGCCCCACACAGAAATCTCAAAGTAACATTATTCATAATATCCCAGAACTGAAAATAACTAAAACGTCCTTGAACATTTGAATGGATCAACTGTGGTATGTCCATACAGTGGTACAACCACACAACAGCAAAAGCAGACAAACAACTACATGTTATCACGAATAGGAATCTCACACTGTTGAACAGAGAAAGACAGAAACAAAAGAATACACGGTGTATAACTCCATTTTTTTTTTTAATTAAAAAACAGACAATACTAATCTAATGGTGTTAGAAGTGAGGACAGAGGTTTACTTCTAAGGAGGAATCTGTTAGTGGAAGGAAAAGTGAGAACTTCTGTAGTACTGGCTAAAGTTCTGTTGCCTGATCTCAATGGTGGTTACACGGATGTTAGTTCCGGTATGTTTGGTATATCTGGGTATGTTTGGGTTTTTCTATGTAAGCTGTACTCTTAAAATGTTAAAAATAATTGGTATCGTTCTTGTCAACAAGTTTCTTGTGCAGCAGAAAAACCTAATTAATAAAAATAAAAGGGGAAAGGAGAAGCAGAGCCTCCTGACATTCATTAACCAATTTCAAAAAAATCTGTAAGACACCACAGAAAGATCTGTAAGAGGCCTTGTTATCTGAGAGGAAATAAAACTGCCAAATCTTCAGGGCAAAAGAAACATGACTACATTTTTGAATTTGTTTTTTTAATAACCCAGTCACCCGCCCCCCCAACCAGGTCACATTATAAAAACCCTCATTTACCTGGTGACTTGAATCTTCAGTGCTCTGCTTTATGAAGTCTTCCAGCTCCTGTTTATCTTTCATTGTCTTCTCTAACTGGTCATTAGCTTGCCTTAGCATCACCTGCAGTTTTTTCACCTATGTAATTTTATAAGTCAATTGGAAGAAAGAACCAGAATTCTTTTATAAATTTTAAAAAATCCCTAACTCCAGAATTCTTTTTAATCTCTAATCTTTTTTTCTTAGAAACATCACAAGATTTATCAATTCTGAGATAAATGACCTCAAGAGACAACAGTACTGTGCTTTACAGTTAACAAATCATTTTTCACATACATTATCTTATTTGAAAATATCTGCTTCTCCTCCTGGGTCCTCTGGGCTATGGCGCTGGCCTCCCTAACGCTAGTCTATGCTCTGCCTCCAATTTATAATCCACACGAACACTATAATTTTGACAAAAATGAAATCACACAAGTTCCCTACTAAAATCCCTAAGTGCCTCCCAAAGTCTTCAGTGTAAAATTTAAACCCCTTCACAATCACCATCCTCCCTCAATGATCTCATCATGGCCTGCCTTTGTAGCTTCCTCTCCTGTTACTTTTTAACACACACCCTTTATGCCCAGCCATACAAACTACTCATAACTTCCCAGAACACATCATTTTCTTTCATAACTCTGTTCCTTTCTTTGAACACCCTTTCCCCTTTCCCCATTTCTTTTCCTAATTTTTACCAGGCTCTAAAACAAACAGCTCAAGTGTGACCTTTCCTGAGCCCACAGTTAAGCTAGATGTTCCTCCTCTAGTTCTGTGTGTATCTGCAGTAACAAACTATATTAAATTGATGGCTTGGGTGTCAACACTGAAAGCTCCTTATGGGCAGAAACTGTGTTCTAGCTACATCTGAATCCCAAGGACCCAGAAAAATGCCAGGCACAGATGAAGCATCAGTAAATGTCTACTGACATATCTATGGAATCCAAGGTAGCCCATCCTCATGCCACACTATCAGAAGTCAAATACATTAGTTTTGCAAATAGCCTTAAGATTTTACTTTTGAACCATCTATGAAAAGAGCATACCTGTAGGAACTCAATGCCAATGATATTTGAAAATATTAAGTCATCATTCTAATCTGCTTAAAGTTCTTTCAAAGACTGAGAGAACAATCTTCATAAGCAAAGAACAATTTGGAAATATAAGAAAAAACGGTCTTTACATATGCTTTCACAAGCCTATTCATGAAATTCTACTTTATTTTCTAAATGTTCTCAAGGTACCCATTATTAAATGCTGTATTTGGAAAGGTAGTTAAGACTTGTCAGTCTCAGCATACCAAATCTACCAAAGCTTAATTTCTGTGACCCTACAAATGAACCTTAATCAATTCAACAAATTTATGAGGAGCAGACAATAAGCAATGAAGATTCCAAATACTGATTAATTATGACATTCCGTTAAACTTTTATTCTATTAGAGGCAATAGTCAAAATCCTTTCTCCCTAAATCTCCATATCATAAAGTACTTCCTATGCGTGTAAGATCATGACAACATCATTTTTAGGCCTTGAGTGGGAGGGACAGGGTGGGAGAGGAGATGGCAGTGCTTCTGTGAGAGCTGAGCTGATCTGTGCAGTTCTGCCAAGTCAATGAAGCACACATACACAAAAGCAGAGTCCTAATGAGCTCCCACTGGAAATGTAACTTCCATTGTATGTACCAGATTATTTCATAATTTAACAAGATGGATATGCTCCATAATGCAAATGGGGGGGAGCAATTAATTCGGCACCTCCAATGAAAACTACAACAGCTCACCAATTTGGCATATCCAAAAGAAACTCACCTGGTCTCTTGTTTCAGCTTCCTGAATCTGAATTCCTTGTAACTGTTTTTCATAATTGGAACACATATCACAACGTCTACCAAGTTTATTTCCCGCATTATGCACCTGAAGGGCACCAAAATTACCTCTTATCAGGCAGAACAAAATAATTCTACGTCACATACTTGAGGAATGAGTGCATAGTCTTACTGATCTTATTCAAAGTAGAACATGGAGTAAGAAATTTTTTAGGGACTTATGGCAACAAGTTAAAATACAGAGTCAGATTTTAAAAAGTCATAATCCCCAGGATAAGTATGATAGAAAAACAAGGAATACAACTTATCACCACCAAGAGGCTAAGGGACACAAAACACCACATTTGAGAAAAACACAAAGCTAGCAAAAGGTACTACAATGTGGCATTCGCAATTTAAATCAATACTATCCAACCAATGGGAAGAAAAATACACAAAAAAACAGTGCCAATTCACCTTTCACCAGCTCCAGTTACAAAATAGTTACGAAACTATTAAGAAGCACCTTCTCACATATTTTTTGCATGAGACCAAGGAGAATAGTTTCTTTCATATTTAATAATCTGTTCCACTTACGGGTCAATAGCTCCTTTAAAGAGAAGTATCCTGAGTAAAGGAGAGCACTACATGTCAGAAAACCTGGATTCTAACCCAGGTTTTGCTACTGAGTGGAAGGGAACACTTGAGTGACTCACTTGATCTTTCTGAGCCAGTTTCTCATCTGTAAATTGGGAACAATCATGCCCTGATTGCTTCATTATGATAGTGAAGCACAAAAAGATGAGGTATGTGAAAGGGCTTTGTAATCTGTAAAGCATTATGCAAATACATACTTAAGTTTTTATCTCCTAATCTTTTTTTTTTTTTTTTTTTTGCAGCTGGGATCTGAACTCATGACCTTGGTGTTATAAGCCTAACCAACTGAGCTAACCAGCCAGCTATAATCTTATTTCTGAGTTTACAAATACTATGAGGAGGCAAATTAACTTCATTAAAGGTTGCCTTCTTTTCTCTCCCATATTTTCCATCCCCCCCTTAAACCCACTCTCAGAATCAACAGTTGACTAGTTTGCACTTTAGAGCTAAAGGACAAGATCAAAGAGCATAAATACTGGAATACATTGAGATTACAGAAAACTGCAAAGCGGGGCTGGTCAGTTAGCTGAATTCGTTAGACCATGGTGCATGATAACACCAAGGTCCAGGGTTCGATCCCTGTGCTGGCCAGCTGCCAAAAAATAGGAAATGTTAAAGTAAAACAGATTCAGGTTATTCTAACTTAAACTTAGCAATGCTAGTCAGGCAGGTTGCTCCAACTTCATAGCTGTGACTTCAGGTGGAGAAGTCCACACTCAATGAGATTAGCTAGTTAATTCCCTTCTCTGTCACAATCAACTGGAATAGCCAAAGCAGAGTATGACAAGAGTCAGACAACATGGGTTAACATCCGCTTGCTGAGAACATGTGCCTGCACTAACTCCATGGACTATCTATTGAATGAACAATAAATCCCAGAGCCACCCAGCATCCCTCAGAGTCAGCACATGGAAAAAAGTCAGAAAGATAACTCACCTCTTTCTGCAGGAGATTCCATTCTGTCTCACTAACTAAGCGGTAACCACTGGGGGACACGTAAGCACTCTCCACACCCTGGGTAACACTGGAGAGGAGGGATGCCGTCTCTTCCTGTTCTGGTGTCATTGCCTTGATTGCTCTTTCCTGATCTTTGGTTAACATAAACCCACTTGGCATCTGCAGTGACCCAAGGGATGCAGTATCAAAGTTCTCAGACACCGAGTCTGCTCCTACCAGTGGTCCAAAATCTGACTCGTCCAGGTTTCCAGCAGATTTTGCTTTGTAGTTATAGCCTAAAGCTTTGGATTGCAATGAGCCTGAGGTTCCCAAGCTGTCTGTAGACTGTGCTCTCCTGAGTCCGTCTTTAAACATGTCACTGTCCGATTTACTGAATGGATCTCCAGATGGCAACAGTAAGTCTGCATCTAAGGAATGGACCGAACCATGGGTGCTGTCTAAATGCTCCTGAAATGTGAAAGTATATATTGCCAAGTTAGATAATTCTCTGTGTCTCCAAAGAGAAAAACTACCATATATTAAATGTATTTTTCCACATGTTACACACGATAATGCTACCTTCATATAATCACTGAACAAACATTTATTGAATGTCTCCAATAAATCAGGCACTCGGGATACAACTGTGAGCAATATACAATCTCTGACCTCAAGATGTGAACAGTTTCATGAAAAAGACAAACAGGCAAGCAGGTTATTACAATACTGTATTTAATAAAATGATAGGCTAGAGCTATGTACTGAATGCTCTGGGAGCTCAAGAAGAGGAATTTAGCCCACACATGAGTAGTAAGGGACGGTCACTTGCATTTCAGTGTTGGGTATGTTGAGCACAAGGTGCGTTTTGAATAGCCAAGTGAAGGTGCCTTTTGAATGTCCAAGTGAAGATGTCTACCCAATAGAAGGACATAGAAATCATTAGATAGGGACTTGGGAGTAACCACTGTATAATGATAATAAAAGCTACAGCACACAAATCAGAACACCTAGGATAAGAGGGACACAGGCAGAACCCTGAGAAACACCAACCTCTGGGGGACGGGCAGAAGAAGGAAAAGCCAGAGTAGCAGAAGGGAAATGTGGAGAATGTGGTATTCTGGAAACCAAGTTTCAGGAAAGGTGTAAACAACATGTTAATTGAGGAGAATGTGGTATTCTAGAAACCAAGTTTCAAGCAAGGTGTGTGATCAACATGTTAAATGTGGTACACTAAGTGAAAGAAGCCAAACACAAAAAGTCACATATTATATGATTCCATCTACAAGAATGTCAAGAACAGGTAAATCCATAGAGACATAAAGCAGATTAATGGCTGCCAGATGCTTGGGGGGAGTGGAGAATGAAGTGTGACTCTTTAACACCAAGGTCAAGGGTTCAGATTCACATACAAGCCAGCCACCCCTCCCACCCCTCAAAAAAAGAGACCCTTTAATGGTTATGGGGTCTTCTTTGGGAGTGATAAAAATGTTTTCAAACTAGACAGATGTGACAGTTACAAATTGTGTATATGCTAAATGCCACCGAATCATACATTTTTTTTTTCTTTTTCTTTTTCAGCTGGGCAGTACAAAATTGTACTCTTTAAATAGTTACTTTTATGTTATATGAATTTCATGAATTTCATCTCACTTTTTTTTTTTTCTAAAGATGACCAGTAAGGGGATCTTAACCCTTGGTGGTGTCAGCACCAAGCTCTCCCGAGTGAGCCACGGGCCATCCCTATATAGGGATCCGAACCCGTGGCCTTGGTGTTATCAGCACCACACTCTCCCAAGTGAGCCATGGGCCGGCCCTCATCTCAATTTTTTTAAAAAGGCAATATAGAACATTCCCAAAGGCAAAAAGCAGACGAGTGCAATTGCGTGATGCAGCTGCATAGTTAGTGGGAAAATAAGAAAAACAAGGAAAATGTAACAAAGTTTTTCTTGATACTAAATTTATTCAATTTAGGGCTAGCCCATTAGCTCAGCTGGTTAGAGCTCAGTGTTGTAACACGAAGGTTAAGGACTTGGACTCCCATATCGGCCAGCCACCAAAAAAAAAATAAAAATAAAAAAGTAAATTTATTCAATTTAAAGGATTATCCTTTTTCTTCAGATGATATCCTTTCTATTTTTTGTTGTTAAGTGACCTTTCTTTTACAAATATGAGGAAACTGTGGAATAGTCTTTTTAATGTTTTTTGGGGGCAGCTAGCTGGTATGGGGATCCAAACCCTTGACCTTGGTGTTACAGGGCTGCTCTCTAACCAACTGAGCTAACCAGCCAACCCCTTTCTAATGTTCTAAAAATATTTTTACTTGTTATAATAAAAAGATGACAACTTTTACATTAATTCATCCATTTCTTTCCTTTTAAAGATTTTTACTCATCTGAAATTCAGATGGCTGAAAACACATATCTAGTATATATTAAGCAAACTATGGCAATGGTTCCAACTAAGTATCCTAATAAAAACTGGAATAAGAAACCATTTTCTTAGCTTACAAAAGAACCTAACACCTACTACTATCACATACAATGCTGCTGTGACATGGAAAAGGGAAGAGGATATGGGCATAAAAGTTGTGAGGACCATTTTAAAAACACCAGACTACCATAAAGACAACAGTGTACAGAACATATACTTCTAGGGGAAGCATGAACTGTTATGGTGTTTCTAGAGCTGGCCGGTTAGCTCAGCTGGTTAGAGCACAGCCTTGTAACACCAAGGTCAAGGGTTCAGATCCCCATACCAGCCAGTCACCAAAACCAAAAAAACTGTTATAGTGTTTCTGGAACATAATTTAACAGTATGTCCTAATACCTTGAAAATGTTTATGCCCTTGAATTCAGCAATTCTTTTCCTAAGAAAATAATCAGATACATCCATAATGATTTTTGTCTAAGAAAAAATTATATATAATAGCATTATGGAAGTACTTACAATAACAAAAGTTTTAGAGTAGAAAAAAATGGAACCAACTGGATTACCAGTGTGTAAATCATGTGTTTTATTTTCTATATTTCTTGGGGGCCTTACTGGAGGAGGAGAAACTATGCCTCTGGGTTATCTAATTCTTAGAGATAACAGACAACTCACCCACCTGTGAACATGACTTTCATATGCAAACCAACCAATCCCAAGCCCGTATCCCCAACCACCTCCTTTATCAAATTGTCACACACCAAGCCAATTTCCCCTACCCTAAACCAACCCAAAGACCAGGTACAAAATAATTAAAGACAGTCCCTATGTCCCCAAACCTGGCAGAATTATTCAAACTAGCCAATCCTAGACTGTTTGCCCTGCCCTGCCTTAGCTTTTCCCGTGTAAAGCCCAATAATGGCTGTGGCCCATGCTTTCCCCTCACTCTTGCTTCTGCCTCCTGACCAGCTCTGGTGCTTCCCCATGTGGCCCTGCCTGATGCGTTGTGAATCTCATTTCTAGGGGAATGGTGACATTAAATTTTTCTTCCAATGGCATTGACCTCCCATGTCATCAATGACCTTTATCAATTAAAACCTGGGCAAAAGTCAATTAGTAGGGAACCAGCTAAAGAAATTATGGTACATTTACATGCTAAAATTCTGTCAGCCATTTAATATCATTTTTGGAGAGAAATGTACATAAAACACTACGTAGTTACAATCTAGGTTATATTTAAAAAGTGGAAATAGAAACACATATATGTCATCTTTGGAAAAGAAAACAGAAAGATACATACTATAATGTTAGTGGTGGTTATCTCTGAGTGTAGGATTATCTACCAGTTATTTTCATTTTCTATGACTTCTTCTAAACGTTAAAATTTTCAGGCCGGCCCCTGGCTCACTTGGGAGAGAGTGTGGTGCTGATAACACCAAGGCCACGGGTTCGGATCCTATATAGGGATGGCCGGTTAGCTCACTTGGGACAGCATGGTGCTGACAACACCAGGTAAAGGGTTAAGATCCCCTTACCAGTCATCTTTAAAAACAAAAAAACCCCACAAAATTTTCCATAGTTCACTTGGGACAGCATGGTGCTGACAACACCAACTCAAGGGTTAAGATCCCCTTACCAGTCATCTTTAAAAACAAAAAAACCCCACAAAATTTTCCATAATGAACATATATTACTCTTGTAGTGAGAAAAGCACATTCTAAGCATCATGATAAAGAAGATATGAGGTCTTAAAAATTTTAAATGTCTTTGGCAACAAACCTAAGTCTCCAAAGCATTCCATATTAACTTTAAACCAAGAACTAAGTAAATTGTCATGATTCTCAACACAAAACAATTATTCTCAACATTCAAACTGCAAAATATCAGATCTAAAAGTCTAAAAAGGCGGGTTGGCCCGTGGCTCACTCGGGAGAGTGTGGTGCTGATAACACCAAGGCCACGGGTTCGGATCCCATATAGGGATGGCCGGTTAGTTCACTGGGTGAGCATGGCGCTGACAACACCAAGTCAAGGGTTAAGATCCCCTTACCGGTCATCTTTATAAAAAAATAAAATAAAATAAATAAATAAAAGTCTAAAAAGGCACTTCAAATGTTGGGAAATAATGTTATACACAATATATCATATAGATCTATTAAAACAGAATCAAAAATAAAAAAAATACTTCATTGTAAATCAAAATAAATAAATAAAAGTCTAAAAAGGCACTTCAAATGTTGGGAAATAATGTTATACAGAATATATCATATAGATCTATTAAAACAGAATCAAAAATAAAAAAAATACTTCATTGTAAATCACAACAAATCTCCCTTTCCTGTTTTCCTGCTCTTCAGACATTCCTGGACAGATGACTACATGATGCAAAAACCATGTAATATGTGGCTGTTTCCAAAAATTGAGCAATCCTCCTGGGAGTCTAACTATTACAAAAATGCACAGCAGAATTAGGCCAAGTGGACCTTAGTGTATGTTCCAAAACAAAGAATGTACAAAAACAACCACATCATACTTTTCAGTGTCCACCAAGATATTTTTTTACAGTTTTTTTTAAATGTCAAATAATCCATAAATAAGGAAATATAAGACAGCAGGAAGTAGATTATTCATGGCTCAGAGTAAATCTGCAAAGTAAATTGAAACATAATACTTTTGAAAGTGAAGAAAAGACTCTTATCCAATTTAACAGTGTAAACAAGGCATATATGCATGGAAATTAAGTAGATAGGTCTGGCTAAAGTGGACAGCAGTGGGTGAGACTAGAAGGCCTGTATCCCAAGCTAGGGACCTTAGTTTTTATCCTAAAGGCAATAAGAGAAGCATTTCCTTCATTACAGACAAAATATCAGCTTGAGCTCTGAATGATGAGTAGAAGGATTTCAGTATTCAGAAAAACAGGAGAAAAGCGTTCCAGCTGAAGGAACCAACAAACTAGGTGAAGAGCGTAGCACAAGATGACAACCAATATGGCTAAAGCAGAATACACTTTATGAAGGGCCTCAATTGTCTGAATGAGGAATTTGTACTTTATTATGTAGGTAATGGAAGTCAGTGGTGGTTTTTGAGAAGGGGAGTGGCCCAAACGCAAGCTGCATTAAAAAAATGAATGTGACAGTAATGCTGAGGGTGCAATGAAGGGGGACAGGCTGAAGACAGGAAACTCATTGAGGAGGCCCTTGCTACACTGTGGGTGAGAGGTGATGAGGCCACAGGAACACCACCTCACACCTGCCACCTCCCAGTCTCTCTACTATACCCATTCCCGTTGCCTAAAATGGTCTACCCTGCCTCATGGCAATCTGCCAAACCTCACCCACTGTTCCCAGGACTTAAGACCTAATCCTGATTAATACTCACATATATGCTATACAGAGTTAAGTGTTTCAACACTTTAGATAATCTCTTTTAAACAAAAAGCTCAAAGTATTAGCAACATTTATTATTCACTTCAAAAAAGATTTTGCAGACCCTATTTAAAGACTTCTAATGTACTCAATTTTATAAGTACTGGAAAAAAGATCTAATTATTTCAGACAGTGGATGAAACTGCAACATGTTTCAAGTAATGATGTCTATAATGCTGTAAAAATAACAAAATAAATATTGTCATTTTATCGAATTTTCAGCTAGTAGCTATGTACTCCCATATGAACACTGTAACTGACTGATGTACAAGTAAGCTGAAAACTCTGTGACACTGTGCATACAATAATTTTAATTATCAATTCATTTTACCTCTTCATTTGATAACTGGGCTAAAGATTCTTCTTGAGTTAAAGCACACACTACTGGTATTTTCACTTCTTCCTCGACATCTGTTTTTTTGTGATCCTTTCTCTTATTAAGTCTTTGTTGTTCATCATCCTCCTAAAAGTTAGGAAAAAACATATATTACCCAGGTAATCTGTACTTAATCATGTAGTTCTTTAACCACTCAGAACAAATAAGAAAGAGGAGAGCTTTATGATAAGAGAAAACTGGATACTTAAGCTTATATGTTTTGTAATCACATCTAATGGCCTCTGATCATGACAAAATCTTTTAATATCATAAGCACAAAGTAAGAACCCTGATTTAAAGAAAAAATCAGGAAGCAGCTTCCAAGAAAAGTATACTGTGTGAAAGTAAGGCAAAACAAAAGAAAGCAAACCACCCTCTCCAAATGATCCAAGAGAAGAAAATTTACATTGAAGATTCCTTCTGAGTGTTGCAGGAAAAAAATAGGAAAAAGTTGTTATGACACTACATTCATTAGAAACACGTACAAATTTATAAGAAATACAAAAGGAATGATGAAAGCTGATATGATAATTCATTCAACAAAGATGAATAAAATAACCTTCAATGCCCACAAAACAGTCTAGTGAGGATGGACAATTACAACACAAATAGGTACAAGGCTCTATAGAAGGAAAAAAATGACTGATTTCATCTCAGGAGCCAGCAAAGGGGGCCCAGAGGAGGTAACACTTCAGCTGGATATTGAACGATCAGTTAGATGAGTTGGCAGTTGCATGAGAGGAGACAGGCAAGGGTTCCAGGGAGAAAGGAGGCACATCCAAACAATGGAGGTGTGGAAGAGCAGGCTGTGGGGGATACTGAGTAATCTAACGTGACTGAAACGTGGGCAGGTTCATGAGAGGTGAAGAACATGGAGAAGAGAGGGATGATTAAATGCTTACAATCTGGAATCAGAGACTGGCTTATCCCTCAGTTCTGCCATTACCTCTCTCAGCCTGTTTCCTAATCTGTAACATAGGGATAATTCTATAGCCCCTACCACATATGGAGAGTTTTGTTTTGTTTTTTGTTTTGAGATAAAGCTTTATATGTAAAACCTTAGCACAATGCTAACACATAGTAAGAGCTCAATAAATGTTAATAAAGGCCTTAAATAACCATCATAGTGAAGTTTAGACTGTTTTAATGGGCAGCAGAGGAAGCATGATAAAATCCGTACTTCAGAATCTACATTGTTATGTTGACTGTGTCTACACACAATATCAATGAGTCAGAATTAAGAAACAGAAAAAGAAATTTTGAAAAGAAGAAAGTTCTGAAAAACTAAATCTAACCTAAATCACATAAGGCAATCTGAAATATTTCCTAAAATACCTGGAAAAGCAATGAACACTTTTATGTAGCTATCCTAGAGAAATATTTGCACACATACACAACATGGCAAAAGATATTAGCTGCAACACTATATGAGAGGACAAAAAAAGGAGGGGGAGGAGGACCATTTAAATGCCCACTACAAGGACAACGGCTAAATCAATTTTGGTACAATCATGCTACCAGTTAACAAGAATGAGATAGAATGATGTGAAAATACATCCAGGATAATGTTTATGGGAACAATAAGTTATGGAATAAAAACTTATAGTATGATATCAGTTGTATGGGAGAAAAAAAACCACCCTAAATATATGCCTGGAAATACACAAAACTGGTCTGGAAGACTCTCTACTAAACTGATAAAAGTATAGTTACTTCTGGAAAGGGGAGGTGTGGGAGATGTCAAGGGGGATTTTCAATGATCACTTTGTATTTGCTTTTTTTTTTTTCCTTTTTGTCTTTTTTACTGACCGGTAACGGGATCGCAACCCTCATGATCACTTTGTATTTGCTTTTTTTTTTTCCTTTTTGTCTTTTTTACTGACCGGTAACGGGATCGCAACCCTCGGTGTCGCGACCGCACCGGGGACCGGCAACGGGATCGCAACCCTCGGTGTTGCGCCCGCACCGAATGGGCCGGCCCACACTTTGTATTTACTTTAACATGAGAATGTATTTGTGTATTACTCATGTAATTTAAATAATTTTTTAAAAAGATAAGGAGAAGTCTGGCCCGTTAGCTCACTTGAGAGTGGTGCTGGTGACACCAAGGTCAAGAAGTCAGATCCCCTTACTGGCCAGCTGCCAAAAAATTAAATTAAATTAAATTAAAAGATAAGGAGAAAATAGGATCTTGGGTATGCAGCACTCTGGACACCTGCCTTTTCCTATCACTCATTCTCTCCATGCACATTTTGTCACGTTCTGATAAGGCTTTTAGAGCAATGTCACCAAAGATTTGACCTGGACAGATAAAACTCAGAAGCCCTAGGAAAAATGGACAGAACTGTAGAGAAAGATTTTCTCAGAAATATGCACTGTTGGGGCTCGCCCGTGGCTCACTCGGGAGAGTGTGGTGCTGCTAACACCAAGGCCACGGGTTCGGATCCCTATATAGGGATGGCCGGTTTGCTCACTTTGGTGAGCGTGGTGCTGACAACACCAAGTCAAGGGTTAAGATCCCCTTACCAGTCATCTTTTACAAAAATAAAAAAATATGCACTGTTGCATCCTGTAGTCTCTGAAGAGGATCATTTCTAAATCATTTTTCCCCCAGAAAAGGCCATATCTAAAGTTAAAAAACAAAACCCCTCAAATGCAGCTATTATATTTTCTAAAGTGGCACTTTGTTTCAGCTTCAGTCAATCTCTAACATACATAAGGTAATGCAATCACATGTGCGCGGAAGGGGGGAGCTTATTAACAAAGCAAACAAGTCCTACACAACTGCTATTCACCTGATCTTTCTTCTTCAATTCTTCAACTTGCCGGAGCTGTTCTGAAGTTAGCACAATCTCCATTCGCTGCATGTCTCTCATCAGCAAACGCTGAGACTCCAGAAACTGGTCATTGGCCTTTTGCCACGTATGTTTTAACTGGTTGTGTTGTTGTCGCTCTTGCTCCAAGAGATGGCAAACTGTTTAGAAACCCCCCAATCAAAAACACTGAATTTTAATGATAGGCAATTTCTTTAGCACAAGGCTACTAGACCAGGTCTGGCCAATAGTCCAGTCTGTCTGGGATTCTGCCCTTGACCGGCACCAAGAGGCAACCTATAGTTGAACATGGCAGCTATCCCCACACCATCTCTCTAAAGCAGATTCTCCCAAGTGTGCTCCTAGGAACATATGAAAAAAGATTTCTGTGATCAGTAAGTTTTAGAAACCCTGGGTTAAATAAATTTTTTAAAATTTCTTTACTGTACGACTTTGAGCTCAGGGTCTTAATTATGTCTGTTTCCTGGAAGCTTATATATAATACAGCATTTCCCTAATTTATTTATAAACACACATAACCCTTTTTCACAGTACAACTCAAATAAGTGTTCTAGGGAATACACTTTGGGAAACATTACTCTGAAGGCCAAATTGTGTTTAATACATTCTGATTATCTATCAACTAGGTATCCTTCCGGGGCCCATTTAGTTTTGACCTCTCAGGATAAGTCAAAGAATATTTGCGTGTATTGTTGACACTCATCAGCCCAGGCATCTTCTACCGAAAAAAGAACAGGTAGCATCATCTACCCACCCATGTATCCAGCCACCCAATACAGAAACCTGAGAGATGACTCATACTTCTGATTTCTCCTCACCCCAACACATTCACCTATGACAAAGACCTATTCTGTTTCCTCTGCAGAGGGACACATCTATCCTCTGGCTTCTGCCTTAGATCAGCTCTTATGTCTTGGACAGCTACAACAGTAGTTTTTTTATTCTTCCTGCCTTCAGGCTTGCCTTTTCTATGATATTCTTCACATTGCCATTAAATTCAACTTGTTAAAATGCAAAATTGATACTGTCACTCTCCAGTTTAAAACTGTTCAGAAAAGTCAGACATAAAAAGGCACATATTGTAAAATCCCATTCATATAAAAGTCCAGAATAGTTATATCTATTGAAACAGAAAGTGGATCAGTGGTTGCCAGGGGGCTGGAGGGAGGACAGATAGGAAGTAACTGAAAATGGGTACAGGATTTCTTTTTGAGGTAATAAATGTTCTAAATTAGATAGTGGTGATGATGCACAATTTTGTGAATAAATTAAAAACTACTGAATTATCCACTTTAAAGGGGTGAATTTCACGGCATGTGAATTATATCTCAATAGAGCTGTTATTTAATGGGGAAAAAAAAACCCTTCAGAGGATTCTTACTCTCCATATGTAAAGTCCACAATCCTTAATTAACACAAGGCCTCCATGATCTGGCCCAGGTCTACCACTCCAGCCTCACATTTTGCCCCCTGCCTGTGCATCCTAATTGTGCTTTTTGTACACTGTCTTACCTAGCTACATGCAAATGGCCCTGGATGCCATGCTCCTCCGACTACCCAACAAGTACCTACCCATCTTTCAAAACTCCACATAAGAACAACTTCTTTTAAGAAGCCTATCTGATCCTGGGACAAAAATAATCGATCATTCTTCATCAGTGGCACTGCTGCATCCTGACACAATTCCAAGCACAGTATCTATAATACGCAATTGTACTAATTTGGTTACATATCTAATTCCCCCAATTTAGGCTGTTAGTTACACAGCTGCTCAATTTTATGTCTTCGTTTCATTTAAAGACTATTTTTTGGTGTGAGTGTTTCAGTATAGAAATTACTCCCTCCTCCTCTTCATTTTAATTAACTTTCTCAGATACTTTTCCAGGTATATTGAGAAGGTCTGATAGTCTCAATGACTTACACTATTTCTGAAAGAGCTAGGGCACATAGTTTAAACAGAAATTCTATTTCTTTAGGACACCCTTTTAGAGTATGGGTGTCTTCTTGACTGTGACATCACATTTGAAAACTGTTTCCTGAAGGCCAAAGACCCACTCAAAGTTTGGGTTATTTTTATAACATTTTATGAAATAATTCTGTAGGCTTATATCATTTCAGCTTTCCATTAGAGTATTTGGGAGGAAAAAACTAACTCATATGCTAACCTAAATTGTTTATAGCTATAAACCACAGCACTTGATATACTTAAAAGTATTCACTGTAGTATTCTATGACCACAGTCCCAATCCTGCATGTAAAAATATGTTGCTAGTATAACCTACAACAAATATAAGATTACAAGGGTCTATATATTTGAATGAGGAAAAAAAGTTAGATCTTTATTTTCACTATTCTCTAACTAAAATTTATCATTTTCTTTGATTATAAAATGTAGGCAATAAACCACAGTGGCAAAACAATACCTATAACTTGGTCACCAAGGGAAATCAGATATTGTTGTATTTTATTACAAAAGTTGCAGATAAGGTAATATGTCATTTATGGTCATCACTACTTCAAAATTACAAAAGTTATTAAACCTGCTGCTAGACCTTGTTATTTAATATATTAATAAAATAGCATATTTATTACTATATAAGTCTGAAGGTTTTTAGGGTTGAAGGTTTTATATTTTGATAACTAATATAATTGGTTTCTTTTATAATCTTATGTATTAAAAAAAATTATTCTCAAAGAGCTTCATAAGACTGCCAAAGGAACCTATGACACAAACAAGTTAAGAACTCCAGGTATGCAGAAATCACTGGAGTAGTATTCCATGGTATAAAGGTTAGCACTCTGGACTCTGAAATCCCTGGAAAAATCAAAGATAAAAGTATGCTTTCATTTTAATGGAGAAAGGATCAGTCCTATTCCTCTATTCCTGGAAAACAGAGTCAATTTGTATAATACTCTGCTACCAGACTAGGAAAACCAAAATTGTCCCTTAAAACAGGGACAAATGTTACTTAGGCCTCCAGAATACACTGTCTGACCTCTCTGTCCCATTCTCACTTTTGCTAATCCACCTCCATCAAAATAGGTGTGGGGACAAAAGCAGTTTCAGTAGAAATTCCCAGTCTTCTTATCTTCCTGCCCAGAGCTCATGCCTTGTGAAGTTATAACTGAGGTCATGGAGGAAAGAGAAGCCATTAATAACCCAAGTATCTTTGTAGTCCTCACAACTTCAGCTTTTCATGAGGACATTCAAATTGACAACAAAGCTTAAATTTAAAAAACTTTTTAAAGGCTGACCTGTGGCTCACTTGGGAGAACATTGTGCGGACAACACCAAGCCAAGGGTTAAGATCCCCTTACTGGTCATCTTTTTTTAAAAACTTTTTTTGACATTCAAATTGACAACAAAGCTTAAATTTAAAAAACTTTTTAAAGGCTGACCTGTGGCTCACTTGGGAGAACATTGTGCTGACAACACCAAGCCAAGGGTTAAGATCCCCTTACTGGTCATCTTTTTTTAAAAACTTTTTTTAATTTAAAAAAAGCTTAAATTGAATCACTAACATGTTGCCTTAGTGTGTTAGGATTTGTTATTGTTATTAGTCAACATCAATTTTACTTACATAGCATTCTCAGGGACAGAAATAAAAATATACAGAACATATATTTACCTTCATGCAACTCTTTCCGCAGTTTCTCAGCATCTTCCTGTAGAACAGATTTCTGAGTATTTAAAACAGCTACGTACATCTCTAGATCAGTCCTACAAGATTTCTCAGCTTCTAGATAATGATTCAGTTCTTTAACCTGAAAAAAGATGCAGTTCTATTACACTGAAATGTACATCAGTTTTTCTATCATAGGTATAATGATGAGTTCTGGCTATGCCCTGAAAAAATTTACATTTACTCTTACAAATTTCTATCTACAAAAAACTAACACTTGAAATTTTAAATTATAAAACAAATACATACTTACTATAGAAAATTGGGAAAATACCACAATTAATAGTAGATGTTATCCATAGCCACATCACCAGAGTAAATACACAACTGAAATTGCACATAAGTTTTGTACCTTGGTTTTTAAAAAGGTAGTTCCACTTTGCCTTCCCGGAGCAACATAAGCATGTGCCTGTTTTATCCCATACACAATGACACCAGGTATGTTTTGTTTTTTCAAACAGTAATTGATTGCTAAGAATAAAAGTGGTACCATACTCTTGTAAGTTTGCCTTTGTAATCCAAACGTCTTAAATTTATAAAAAGAAGACATTTTCACAGACACATATATTCATGGAAGTTAAAAAAGAGGAAGTCCTGATGGGAAAAATAACTGGTTTCACACTGTAGAGACACAAACTTGAAGGCAAGTACAGAATACTTTTTAAAACTCGCATCTTTTTAAAAAATGCTTTATTTCTGTTAAACAATTAACTGTAATATTCAGAATATTAACAATACAGCCTAATATTTAAAAGCTAAAACCAAAATAAATGTAATCCTACCACAGCAAACCTAGGATTACAAAGTCACTTGTTTTACCCTATCTTATAAAATTGTCCATCCTAAATTCTAACCATTTAGTTAACTTTCAACTTTTTCAAATGGTTATGTCTAATTTCACGTTCAAGGTCATTTTATCTTCCTAGTTCTTCAAACTTAAAATAGCTGGCCTTTCTGTTTTCAGTTACCTTTACTCCTAGACCATTATATACAATACTATTCAGAGACTAAGATACTTATTTAGGCTGCCATTTGATGCTTCACTGGAGGTTGTCAGCCACCATAAGATACTAACCAAGCATGGCAAAGTGCTGACTATTGTGAGGCACTTTCCCTAACATCTGGAGAGGGTGAGAATTCAGCTGCTGGTAACAGAGTGTCAACATGGCAGATATTAAATGGGGCATATAACCACTAATTCTACCAGCTATTACTTCTTAGGATAAACATTTGATTCAATTAATAGTTAATGAATTTCTAACATTCAAAAGCTATTAAGCAGAACTCCAGGAAGATGATGGCACAGTATTCGAATTTCCTTAAATTCTACACCCAGTAACTACTCAAACCAAAAACACATGAACACCTACAAAAACCCAGGTCCAAGAGAGGGTGGGGACAAACTACTGAAAGCTACCTATCAAGAAAATCTTATACGGTATCAGCATCTATGCAGGAGAAAGTAGAGGGAAGCAACAAGGTTGCTTCCCAAGAACCCCAAGAGTTAACTGGGGGTCCAATTTGATGACAGCAGCTGAAACTGAGAGGAGTTTAACATAACCCAATAATGCATGAATGCAACAAATTTGTTCTGTCAGACAACCTGGTTGGGATAAAATGGTACCCCACTTTCATTTGCATTTTCCTGATTTCTTGTATGGTTGAATATCCTTTTACATTCCTTGACTACTCTGGTTCCTCTTTTGTGAATGGCTCATTCACGTACTTTACCTGTTTTTCTATTGAGCTATTTGTCACTTATGAACCTGGCAATTTTTATTAATTTGGGATATTAATTTTTTGTCAGGTATATGAAATATAGATATCTTCTCAGTCTGCAGCTTCTCTCTCCAACTTTTTGTAGTATCTTTTAACAAGGAAGTTTATATTCTAATGTAGACAAATTTGCCAAATTTATTTTCATAGTCAATATTTTCATCGTAAGAAATTTCTTTTGTACCCCCAACATCATATTCTCTTTACTTTTGATTCTTAGGTTTTAAATTCACTGAAATTAATTTTTGAAAAGTACAAGGTAGAAATCCAATTTCAATTTGTTGAAAAGCAAAGTTTTTTACCAACCCATTCTTGCCTCACTGATTTGTAATGCCACTTGTCATATATCAAATTTCCACATACATATGGGTCTACTTTAAAGTACAAGGTAGAAATCCAATTTCAATTTGTTGAAAAGCAAAGTTTTTTACCAACCCATTCTTTCCTCACTGATTTGTAATGCCACTTGTCATATATCAAATTTCCACATACATATGGGTCTACTTCTGGGCTCTCTATTCTATTTCATTGGTCCATTTGTTTATCTTTAAACCAATAACAAACTATCTTAATTATTGTAGATTTACTATAAGTCTTATTATCCCCACATTGTCTTCTTCAAAAATTCACTAGGTATATTTCTGATCCTTTGTTTCTCTGCATGAATTCTAGGATCTAATTATTAAGTTCCTTACTAAACTCTATAGAATTTTGAGTGGAATTCCAAATTTATAGATTGATTTCAGGATTACTACCTGCTTTATAATGCTCTGTCTTTTCATTCAGGAACACACATACATGTATTCAGGTCTTCACTTATAATGTATTATATAAAGATCTTGCCCATTTTTGTTTAGATACAAGGGTACTTCAAAAAGTTGGTGAAAAAGTAGAATTGGCAGTAAAACTAATCTTCCACGAACTTTCTGAAGTACCCTCATCTGTTCTTGGGTAACTTATGGAATGTTTTTGCTATTATCAATGGGATCTTTCTTCCCCATTACATTCTTCAATTGGATATTTCTGAAGTATAGAAAAACTATTATTTTTGTATGTTGATCTTATTGAAACAAATTTCAACTTGTTGAACTCTTATTAGGTCTAATAATCTGTTGTACATTCTCTAGCTTTTCTACGTAGACAACCAAATCGGTTTCAAGGCTTCCTTTCAAGTTCTTAGGTCTCATTTTTTAAATCTTGTCTTTCTGTACCGTCCAGGATCACAAAAACAACCAAAACAGAATTACTGAGCACAGGTCTCCACCCAATATTCCCATCATTAATGGTAGATATGGCTGCTAAACATTCATCATTAATTATGTTTTCTAAAGGTTTAATAAACAGCCCTTGGCTGGCCCATTAGCTCCATTGGTTAGAGCATGGTATTTACCAAGGTCAGGGGTTTGGATCCCCATAAAGGCCTACTTCCAATAAATAAATAAATACCCCTTTATTAAGTTAATGAGTATTTAAATTTATCAAATGCTTTTCTGAATCCAAAATGAATATATTGCTCTTATCCTACAATCTTTTTATGTGGCACATCACAATAATAGATTTTCTGGTCATTTACCATCCTTAAATTCCTGGGAATATACCCTACTTGGTCATGATGTGTTTTCTTTTCAGCTTTGTTTTGGTTTTCTTTAGCTATGATGTTGAACATTTTTGTTTCTGTATTCCTAAGTGAGACACATCTTTGATTTTTTCTTTCTTTTTTTTTTTTGCACTAGCCAGTACAGGAATCCGAACCCTTGACCTTAGGGTTTAAAAGCTGTGCTCTAACCAACTGAGCTAACCAGACAGCCCGATTTTCTTTTCTTATACTACCTTTCTATGTGTTTGTTGATTTGCAATAAAGATCTACTAGTTTCATAAAAAGACTTGGAGAGCTTTTTCTCTTTTTCTATTCTCTGACAGTTTGTAAAATATAAGGATTATCTCTTTACAGAGGGCTTGGAAAAACTTGCCCACAAACCCAACTGAGTCTAATGTCTTTTCAGGAAACAAGACAGGAGAAAGAAAGATTCTGACTCTAGATTCACTTCCTGTAATAATTACTGACTACTTTAGCTTTCCTAAGAAAGCTCGAGGTGAAATCAAGGTGTCAGTGGGCAAAAAAAAAAACAGGGACAATTCTGGCTAATTATTTTTTAATAAAAACTTTCTCTTCATCTATTTTCAAATTTATTGGTGTGACACTAAGCTCAGGGACAATTCTAATTATTTTTTAATAAAAACTTTCTCTTCATCTATTTTCAAATTTATTGGTGTGACACTATTAATAGTATTTATCATTTTTAAATCTCTACTAATTTGTAGTTATGTCCCTTGGTTCATTTCTAATGACTGGAATTTTTTTTCTCCTTCTTCCTGGTCTTATTAGAGATTTTTCTACTGTTTTTTTTTTCCATATTTTTCATTATGTTGATACTCTCTACTGCTCTTTTTCTTTTCTATTTCACTGATTTCTGCTTTTATTTGTATTACTTCCTTACTTTTGTTTTCAGTTTGTACTGAAATGTTTGTACTTTTTTTTAGATTTTGGAGTTAAATATTCACATCATTACATTTTGTAATTACTTTATCCATGAGTTATCTTTTTCTATTTCTACACATTTTATTTTAATCATCATTTTATTGTAAATAATTGGATAACCTGTGGTCAGAGAATTGGGTCTGTATAACATCAATTCTTCAAAATTTGTTGACATTTCCTTTGTGACCTTATTATGAAAAATATAATGTATCTAAAAATAATAACACTTTGTCCCACATACTATGCTAAGTATTTATATGTATTAACTTATATAATCTTTATAATAGCCCTATGAGGCAGGTAGCCTTACCATCCTCATTTTACAGTTGAGAAAACCAAAGTAAGATTAAGTAATTAGCTCGAGGTCACCCAGGCTACTAAATGCTGAGCTCTTAACTACTATGCTTTACTACTATATAAAATACCATCTATTTCTTGGGATCAGAGTTCTTTGTATCTATTAGATCCAAATTATTGACCTACAAGGTCAAGGGGTTGGTTCCCTGGGCTGCCCAGTGCCAAAATTAATGAATTAATTAATTAATTAACCTGATTGTTCAAAACTCCAATAGACCTAATATTTTTCTCTGCTTACGCTCGTTAAGTCAATTTAAATCTCCTACTATAATTGAAAACGTCAATTTCTCCTTGTAATTGTCATTTTTTTAGTTCATATATTTCCAGGTGTATTGGATTAAATTGTGTCACCCCAAAACTCACTGAAGCCTGAATTGTGTCCCCCAAGTTTTATGTATAAGAAACTTAGCCTCCACTGTGACTGTTAAGAGGGTGGGAAATCCTATTATGGTAATTGAAAGGTGGAGCCTTGAAAAGGTGGTTGGATTGTAGGACCATGCAGTAGTGAATGGATTAAAAATGGTGGTCAGGGGCCGAGCCCGTGGCGCACTCGGGAGAGTGCGGCGCTAGGAGCACAGCAGCACTCCCGCTGCAGGTTCGGACCCTATATAGGGATGACCGGTGCGCTCACAGTTCTCACTGGCTGAGCGCAGTGCGGCAGGTCTCAAAAAAAAAAAAAAAAAAAATGGTGGTCAGGGGTGTGGTTCTGAGGGCTTTAAAAGAAGAGGAGGGTCTGTCTTTCTCTCTGCTTCCACCATCTTGCAATGTGAGACCCATGGGTCATTGTCACCACCACCAAATGTGTTCCTTGGACTTTGGATTTCCCAGCCTCAGAAACTGTAAGCAAAAATTTCATTTTCTTCATAAATTACCCAGTTCCAAGTATTTTGTTATAAGCAACACAGACAGACCATCATTGTTATATCTTATTGATGAACTGTTTATTAGAAAGGGTCCCTCTTTATCTCTATTAGTTCTTTTTTCCCTTATACAATTGTTTGATATTACACTTGCTATATCAGCTTCCTTTTAGTTAGAATTTACATGGTGTATCTTTTTCCCTTTATTTTCAATCTTACCTTGTGGTTTTACTTTAGGTGAATCTCTTATAAGCAGTATATGAGGGGTCCTCAAGAAGTTCATGGAAAATGCATATTATAAAAAAACTACGCATGAATTTCAAAAGTTTTCTGCACTAAAATGAACTCATACTGACTTGCTATAACATGTCTGAATAGTATCTAGTTTAAGGCATTAAGAAGGATAAAACATCAGTTTGAAAAGAGTCCCCATACCAGCCAGCTGCCCCCCCCAAAAAAAAAAAGGAAAGAAAGAAAGAAAAAAAAGAACCCCTTCATCATCAATCAAACAACATGAATTCTGCTAAAATTGAAGCAAGAACAAACATCAAATTTATGGTGAGGCTTGGGTGGAAGAATGGTGAAATCACTGATGTTTTACACAAGGATTATGTGGATAATTCCCCACGGAAATCAGCAGTTTACAAAGGGAGAACTCATTTTAAGAATGAATTAGACTATGCTGAATATGAAGCCTACAGCAGCAGGCCATCCACATCAATTTGCAAGGAAAAAAAATCAAACTTGTCCGTGCCCTAGTTGAAGAAGACCAACAATTATCAGCAGAAACAACAGCCAACACCACAGATATCTCAACCAGTTCAGCTCACACAATTCTAACTGAAAAACTGCAGTCAAGCAAACTTTCTGCTCAAGGGGTGCCAAAACTGCTGCATCCAGATCACCTGCAGACAAGCAGAACTTTCAATGGATATTTTAAACAAGTGGGATCAAGATCCTGAAGGATTTTTTTGACGAATTGTAACAGGAGATGAAACAGGGCTTTATTAGTACGATCTTGAAGACAAAGCACAATCAAAGCCATGGCTACCAAGAGGTGGAAGTGCTCCAGTCAAAGCAAAGACAGACCAGTCAAGAGCAAAGGTCATGGCAACAGTTTTGGGGGATGCTCAAGGGATTCTGTTTGTTGACTTTCTGGAGAGCCAAAGAACAATAACATCTGCTCATTAAGAGAGTGTTTTGAGGGCCGGCCCGGTGGCGCACTGGAGAGTGCGCCGCTTGGGAGCGTGATGGCGCTCCCGCCAAGGGTTCAGATCCCATGTGGAGACTGGTTCCCACTCACTGGCTGAGCGTGGTGCGGGCACAACACCAAGGGTTGCGATCCCGTTGCCGGTCCCGGTACAGGCGCGACACCGAGGGTTGTGATCCCGTTACCGGTCAGTAAAAAAGACAAAAAGGAAAAAAAAAAAAAAAGAGAGAGTGTTTTGAGAAAGTCAGCCAAAGCTTTAGCAGAAAAACACCCAGGAAAACTTCACCACAGAATCCTTCTCCACAAGGACAATGCTCCTGCTCATTCCTCTCATCAAACAAGTACAATTGTGCAAGAGTTGCCATGGGAAATCATCATCCAGCAGGCATCCACTTTACAGTCCTGATTTGGCCCCTTCTGATTTAGTTTCCTAATCTTAAAAAATCTGTAAAGGGCACACATTTTTATTCAGTTAATAGTGTAAAAAAGACTACATTGACATGGTCAATTTTCCAGGACCCTCAGTTCTTTAAGGATGGACTACATGGCTGACATCATCACTCACAAAAGTGTCTTGAACATGATGGAGATTATGTTGAGAAATAAAATTTATATATATTTTTTATTTTTATCTTTTAATTCCATTTTTCCACAAACTTTTTGAAGTCCACTCATAAAGTTAGATTTTTTAAGTCCAATTTGATAATCTCTTTCAGTAGGTGAGAATTAGTTTACAGTTATTAGAATTAGTAATACATTCCCATTATTTCTACATTCCTATTTAGTCCTTTTGTTTACCTTTTTTCATTGTTTCATTCTTTCTCTCCTACTTTCTTTTAATTATTAAACTTTTCAACATTCCCTTTGCATTTGCTCTGCTGTGTCCTTATGGCCAACAAAATTCAGCCATACTGTAGCTACATCATCTCTAAGGTATCGAATGTGAGGCTGGCATCAGAAAACAAAGTCACCTTTGAACAGTTTATTTTCCTTGATAAGAAAAAGAATGAGATCAGGTCTCATTTTGATAAGAAAATGAACATTAACTGTGTGACAAAGTAGCCACTTGTGATAAAACATCATTATTGTGATTATTTAAAGTATCCATAAGGGCAAAATCATCTCAAAGCAATTTTTTGAATTTTAAAGAAAGGTTCTTAAGATGCATAATCTAAATTATAGTTTTTCCCCCTTACTGATTCTAATTTTGTTACGGCATTAGGGCAGAATCTTGGGTTTCAAGCAAATAGATTATGTTTCACAACCTTTGAGGCCTCCAGCTCTTTAATCTTGTCTTCAGCCTCTGTCAGTTTATCTTTCAAAGCTGCAATTTCCTTCTCCATGGGCATCACAACAGACCGAAGTTTTTCAGCATCCTCTTGGGCCTATGGTCAAAAAGAATTAAATGCTACAACGTACTCATTTATTCCTTTTCTAAGAAACTCTGACGCATCCATTTGCAAAAAATCAGTATAACAAATAACTCTACCCTTCACTATAGTAGTATTTTAAAAGGTGCACTACTTTGAATGTCAAGTCATAATAAGAGCTTCCCCAAATATTCCATTTAGAATTTGGGAGTAAGTAAGAAAATGGATTCACTATGAAAAATCTGACTCCAGTTAAGAGAGTAATTGAGTTAGGAAAAATCCCACATATAAAAGGAAATATACACAATAATTTTTACAATCCCTTTTTACTAAGTTAATGAGACCATAATTTCTGATGAATATTGGAAAGAGTGATTATACTTTAAACACACAAAATAGAACAGTGAGGGCTGGCCCGTGGCTCACTTGGGAGAGAGAGTGTGGTGCTGACAACACCAAGTCAAGGGTTAAGATCCCCTTACCAGTCATCTTTCACAAAAAAAAAAAAAAAAAAAAAAAATAGAACAACGTATTTTCTAAAATTTTAGAAAATTATGTTGCTATAAAAAGGCTTCCATACAATTAAACAGAGTACTTTATTTTTTGCCAAGTGCTGACTCCAATTACATAAACAGAGTACCTTAAATTACTACCTTACTTTTTTCAGCATATCAAAGAGTATGTGCACTCCCATGTTTATTGCAGCACAATAGCCAAGATAGGGAATCAACCTAAGTGTCCAACAACAGATGAACGGATAAAGAAAATGTGGTATTTATACACAATAGAAGACTACTCAGCCATAAAAAAATAATGAAATCCTGTCATTCACAGCAACATGGATGAGCTAAGAGAGCATTACATAAACCAGGAACAGAAAGAGAAATACCACACATTCTCACTCATATGTGGAAGCTAATTAAGAAAGTTGATTGCATAGAAATAGAGTAGAATGGTGGTTACCAGAGGCCTGTAAGGATAGGGTGGATATTGAGAAGCTGGTTAATGGATACAAAATTACAGCTAGATAGGAGGAATAAAATCTAGTGTTCTAAAGCAGTGTGGTGTAACTACAATTAACAACAATTTACAGTATACCTTCAGTAAGCTAGAACAGAGGATTTTGCACCCAACACAAAGAAATGATAAGTGTTGAGGTAGGGCTATCAGGGTTTCAAGGGAGGAGGACCGGATGAATAGATAAGGCACAGAAGATTTTTAGGACAGTGAAACTATTCTGTATGATAATATAATGGTGAATACTTCACATTATGCACTTGGCAAAACCAATGGAACTATGCAACACAAAGCGAACCCTAATGTAAACTTATTTATAATTTTATCGAGTTTGGTTCATAAATGTAATAAATGTACCACACTAATATGTTAATAATAGGAGAAACTGTATATGTATAGGGGGTACGTGAAGCGTCTGTACTTTCTGCTCAATTTTTCTGTAAACCTAAAACTGCTATAAAAATAACGTCTATCACTTAAAAATTTTTTCCTTTTTAATATCTAAATGCAACAAACTCAAAGAATGACCCCTAAAACTATCACAGTTTTCCAAATTCCATCCTCAAAAACATGGATTAAAAGGAAACCACTATGGGCCGGCCCGGTGGCGCACTGGATAGTGCGCCGCTTGGGAAGCGCGGCGGCGCTCCC